CCTGCTGGCTAAATACTGATGATCAACTTCATTAATGGTTAGGATTTGAATAATAAGATTACATTTCTTACAGCCAGGATCTGGTGGATGGATACCATCACATTCTATGGATCTCAACCCATAAGAATTTGATAATCTTGCCCCTTGGTACTCCTGAGTCTCCGCATATGCAAGGGGATAGTTTGAACCATTCTGAAAGGCCTTGTACTTTCAAGAGAGCCTATTCTTTTTTTTTGCCCTAAACCCTTCCTTGAAGCTTGATGACAGAACTTTTTTTGAAAGGCTCAGACCACTTGTTTTGGCTTCAGTGCCCTTAATACACCATCAGTGTTCTAACACACTAAGACCACCTCTGAAGCCAAGTACACGTCAGTACCATTGATCAGTAATGTGATCAATACCCAGCACTGAAAGATATCCGTCTTTCAATGTACCCAGGGCTGGAAACACGAGGAAATGCAAAGCATTCATCTGAAAGCTCTGAAGAAGTCTCAGAATTACCATAGCCTGCGTACAAGTCCTAAATAGCAGCCTTGACAGGAATACAACACAACCAGGAACAGAACATTTCTAGAATAGAGATGAGTACAGCTGCGATGTCTGCAGGAACAAAGCTAATACAGGTCGCTCACCCGCTGCTAGCTTCACGGGAGATGCTATCTCCAAGTTTAGCTCATAAGCGATATTCTTCCACAGTCAGATGTTTGCCTAAAGGCTTGTCACCTCCAGAGAACAGGAAGCCTTGGAACACTACAGAGACAGCCGAGCACTGTTCAGCTACCTGCTCCTCTACCAAGGCTTCTGCAAACCAAGTGCTTCAATAGTCAGAAAATTGAGTGTTATCTGAAGTCCAGACAAACTGCCAAGATCAAGGTAGCAAATGGAACAGTCACTTCCTAGAGCACAACTGCTCAAGGTGTCATCTCCAACCAGAGTAAGGTCTAACCTGAGGCTGAACACACAATTGTTAAGATTTGTCTGCTGAGTTTGGGATTGGGTGGACAATTTTGCCAGAATGTAACTTGAGGAGTTTAGGGGATATATTAACTTAAAAGAATTTAATCTGAACTACAAATTTAACCCCTAAAACAAGACACAGAAAGCAAACCAAGCATTTTCATACTTTGGTAACCTGGATTAACATCTGAAATTCTGTAACATTACACATCAGCTACAGTAGAGAAGCAATAGTCAGTACTTTTACATAATCATTCTACCAGCAGGGAAGTTCAGAAACTCAGAAGAACAACAGTGACAAATAACTGTATTTTGATGGGCCTCAGAAGTCCCAAAGTTGGAATTCTATGAACTAATATATTTGCAACAGCAAGAGAAAATTCCTCACTTTGCCTACACTGTAAGTACTTTAGTTTGCTGGGAACATTACAAGACCTGCTTCCATTCTGGGAGAGACCAACACAACTCAAACATTAACATTTACACTACAGCACAGGCCATTAATTTGTGGGAAAAGTTACACCTATGCCTTCTGTAAGTTAAGAAATTGCAAAGATGCAAACATCAGCCTGTGGCATTCGTTATCCTTGAATTAGCACTGACAACGAGTAGAGGGGACAGAATTGCTCTCTGTTTACTTACAAAAGAAATCAGTATTTTCTTCTTTTGTTAATAACAGCTAAACCATTTTCAATGTTAGGTCAAAAAAAGCATCCCTATTACTGCTTCCTCAAACATAATTATAAACGCTACCTAGTCTGAGCACAGAAGTGTGGAAACAAGGCCTGCTAGTGCAGATTGCTTCTCCTTCCCCATAAGAAAGTCATGTTCCAGCTGCAACGGAACAAAGCAGCAAGCAAACAGTTGAATCCACGTTAACATTGAATTATTGCAGCTGAACACAACACATGCAGGAGCAGAATGTGCCGAAAGGCTCAAGGCAATAGAATAATGGACCATGAGCTGCATAGCAATTGGGAAGAAGGTCTAACAAAGGAGTCCACTTCATACAATCATCCACTGTCTTAAAATAAAGAATAGGAGCACACTATTACTACTGAGTACTAAACTTAATTAGGAAAACAGACAAGTCAGATGAAAGACAGTGACAGAGCACCACTAAGTTTGACTATTCACTTGACATTACTCTGGATCATATTCAGTCTCACACTTCCTTGTAAAACAGCAGCTAGAAGCATAAGACTACCATAGAGGAAGAATACCAGCAAAACTAAAATGACAGGAGCTGGTAAAGAAAATCTTCAAGAAGTTATAACAATGAAAAGCCAATTTGATGAGGGCGAACAAAAAAAGAAACTTAGAGGAGAAAAACAAAACAAGATCCTTAATTTCAAAAGGAATATTGGCAAACAAGAACACAAACCTCATTCAGCACTGAATGTGAGTCTGGACACTTTTTGCTATCAGACTATATTTCTCAAGTAAAACAGAGGCGAGATACTTCAAGGAAATTATCTTAATCATGAACTACCGTTAAACCTTTTAAAACCATTCTGCAGTAACATGCAGCAAATCTTGCAAATCCAGACTATAACAATCTGCATAGCCAAAACATCTGGAAATCCCCACAGCTGAACACATTAATGGAACCCATCCCAAGCAAGACCAGCATTCCGCTGTCACCTTAAGTGTGATACTTAATAACCTCCTCCTGCTGTAAACTGTGAGGACAGACTAACGAAATACCAGCTATTGCCACTACTACATTTTTAAGTTTGCACAGTTAGGCTTTTCAAAGCAAAAGGTCATAACCTATAACATGAGAGCTTTACTCCTCTACTGCATTACCTATGTTTTTGCAGACTTTAAACATACAAAGGAAATTATTAAGGTCTGCAATGGGAATAAATTAGCAATAATACACAACCTAGCTTTTTGTATTCTGTTAAATTTTCAAAATGCAATCCTGCTCTACTATTACTGTCCTATTTAACATTTCGTACTGAACACTTATACTTTTGCTTCAAAGAAGTGACAGAAAGAGAGAAAACCTCAATTATAAACATTGCTTCTATATACAGCAGACTCCACACCTCTTCCTGCTAATGGTTGTTTGAATTAGAAGTTTCATGATGCTCTTGACACCTGCATTAATAAAGACAAAGACAGAGAGATCCACCAATGTATATAGTTTCAGAAGCCTTTAAAAATACAGCTAGACTAGCCATGGAATGACAACTGAAAATTTGTTGTCTTCCTACATCACTGCTTCATGCATATCACAGGATTTCTGGGAAGGTAGAAGGGATATGATAACCTGAAATCTACGTATTTCTAGGCAGCTAGACATAGCTTGTTTTAAAATTTGTTGTGTTTAGACGACTAAATATAGTGCTTGCAGAATAACTGCTTAACAGACTGTTGTGTGTATAGAATAGCATGACTCTATCACTGCCTATCTTCCACGTTTCTTTCTTCATGAGATAAAACACTTCACTGATTATGCCTCAAATTGATTTCAATAATCATCCTTAGAGGCAGCAAAAAAATGGCATCTGAGAAATAACAAAAGTGTATTAATACTAGGTCTCAAGGACTAAACTCAAAGTCTAAGCTAGATTAAACAGTAATCTTAAGATACTTGCTTAATTAAACCTATTAAAATGCCGCTTTTGATAGATCAACTACAAGTAGGGGCAGGGAGGATTTTTATCGTTGCAAATATTTGTCAGGTGTATTCCTGTACCAAGCCAGGAGCCAACAGCAGCAACTGAGTATAGGGGCAAATCCTAAGAGATAAAACACAATTGTGGCTTTTAATATATTTTCTGAAACTGAACACAAGTGTCCTCAAACTGTCTACCTTCTCAAACCTGGCAGACAAAAAAAAGCCAGTTAAGAGCAGTGGAATGGAAGACTAACAGTTATTCACATCAGTGATGAACCAGCAAAAGTTCAACTACTAGATTTCAGCTGTTGCCTAAAACCAACCAGCACACACATCATGAAATCTCTCCAACAGCTAAACTTCACAAAAGAGTGATTTTGTAGATAGTGCAGTGATATACCAACGCCAGACCTAACAGTGGTAGCTGTAAACACAACAGAGGCAAAGAATGGATAGGGTACTGCTAATATCATAAATTTCAAGAGCTGCTTCCTGAACAAGACTGACCAAAAAAACTTTCCAATGTAAAGTAAAGCTTTACAACTCTGTCAAAGGTAATGAGGAAAGCACTGAAGTTTAAGCAAACAGTATCCAACCAGAACTTAAGATTAGAGTAACAGTTTAAAGCTACAGCAATCACTGTAGATTAAATCTGTTCTCCTGCATAGCACCCCCCTCCAGTAAATTTAACCTCTTTTCTCTCAGAGGAGTAAGCGAATGTTGGTACCCAAGCAGGTGTGGCAGCTAAGTGCCAATGAGACTATTCTGGTCAATAGGCTTCCAAAGACAAGTCAATAAGGATCATAAGAATCTAGTATGAGCGGTTTGTCTTAGTTTGGAATTAGATTATGCATATTCTCATCTTTATCAGGCTGCTCTTCTACGTTTTTCCCCTCCTTCCACATATGGGGCCAACAAAGAAAACACTGTAGAACAATCATTCAAAGCCAGATTAAAATCAAACACAGGAGTCATGATGCTGTACTACTGACCCTACTTAATTTCTGGCAATAAAACAGGTATGCAGTGTCTGGGAGAAAGTGTCTCTTTACTCACCAGATGGCTCCTCTGGCTCGCTTTCATTCTCTTCTTCTGCAGGAGCTGGTGGAGGTGGTGGTGGTAGTTTTTTCTCTTTCTCAGCTTTAGCATTTCTCTCTTCTTCAGAGTAATACTCATCTTCTGACAGGTTTGCAAGACTCTCATCCATCTCTCTGTACTCCACCTGTAAAAAGCAGAAAAGAGGATAAGAACACTGAAGAGGTCTATAAGTCTCATTACTAAAATGAACTGCAACAAAATTGCTTACAGCTCAAATAAAAGTCCTGAGTTACCTTGTCCAGTCTTATTACAGCTACCAAGTTATAAAATCTTCAACAGCTTAACAAGTTCCATGTGTTTTTACCTCCGTTAAAAAAAAAAAAAAAGTCTTCAGCACCCAGCTGTCCAGTAGTAGGAACAGTCTACTCATATTGAGCCCAGTTTATGTATATTTGTTATATCATCATTTAATCTCTCTAGTTTTCTTCCCTTCCTCCACCTCCCTGTTAAACAAATTGCCTGTGTCCAATCCACATCTTCTAACTTGAATTTATCGGTCAAACATGGGTGACCAGAACTGTACACCGGACTTCATCTTGCCCTGGTACAGAGGATCACATTTGCCTCCTCTCCAGGATGGTCACACTAGTGGCTCAACACAAAATTAAAAGAATAAAAATAATCTTTATTACTGTATATTGTTTTTTTCTGCTTTCCAGTAAAAATAAATAATGTTCCAGCTAAAAAGACTCTCTCCAACTTAAAGGAACATGGAAATCCCAAGAAATAACCTAGAAGGGATGCATCTCACACTGTTTAATATACCAAGCTTTTTTCCAAAATAAGAAAGCTTTGTATATTGCTATTGAATTTCCCCACCTATTGGAAGGGGAAAAACCACTTCTTAATACACAGCCATAGGAAAAATAAAAAGAAAGCGCTAATGTACCCCTTACATCCTACAGGTCAGCTTCTACCACGAGATGACAAACGCGACTGCATTTCTTATCAAAAGAATGACAGCTGTTTCACTGTCAAAGTTCAGTCGTTAAGAAAGGGCATTAATGGGCATGATTCAAAGCACCATTGGGAAGCCCATGTATAGGAAAGCCTAAATTCAGTACAACACCAACACACTACATGATCTGCTGTCTTTTCAAATATTTACATTCCACCTTGTCCAGCACAATTGGTTTTTCACACTGTTGAGCAAATGTTGCATCACCAGTATCTTTTGCGAACTCCCACTTTGAAGCAAGTTATAGTGATCCCACAGCATCACCAGTATAGTTACCACAGGTATTTTAAACCAACGCAAAACTAGTTCTGTCCTAAGGCCCTCTGAAGCCTCCCATCCTCCTTGAGCTCACACAACTTTCAGAGAACAATCAAGTCGAATAAAAAACTAAGCTTTTCCCCAGGTTTATTTTTAACCTGGATAGTCTCCCCAACTGAGCTCACACCACCAACATTCACAGTAAGGCAACCTTGTGCTAGCCTGAAGTGATCCTGGGGTTATACTGTGTTAAAAAGGATTAATGCCCTTAGCAAATAGGTATTGTCAATGCAGAGAAACATCACCAAAATACAACCCACAGAGAGTGCACTAATCCCTAGACCACATAAAGCAAGTAAAATCCCGGTATGCTGCCTCTGAAGATTACAGAATGATCTGGGTTGGAAGGGACCTTTAAAAGACCATCTGGTCCAACCCCCCCTGCCATGGGCAGGGAGATGTTTTCACTGGATCACGTTGCTCAAAGCCCTGGCCTTGAACACTCCCAGGGACAGGGCATCCACAAGTTCTCTGGGCAACTTGTTCCAGTGTCTCACCACCCTCATCATAAAAAATTTCTTCCTTATGTCCAATCTACAGCTACCCTCTTACAGTTTAAAAGATGCACCAGACTGACCTACCCAACAGTTCCTTTATGCAAAGGACCAGTCTAGCTATCACATCACATAAGAGTTCAGAAGAGCAAGACATTCAATGCCACAGCTACAGAACAGAGTCCCTAAAAGTAATTTCAGCTTTCATATCAAACACACCCAGCTTTGGGCACAGCGAAGATCTTCGAAGTCTTCTGCAACAGGGTTTCCAACAAAAAGTTTCACAAAAAAAAAAAGTAATGTTCTCAGATGCTCAGAATAACATACAAGAATTACATACCACAGGCCCAAATGATTGGAAGCTGTTCATGGCCTTTAGATTTCATTGCTAAATCTCACCCATAAACACAGCATTGGCTCAACTCTCCAATGCCTACTGAGGGAAGCTGAAGAACAGTGGACTGAATGCAGCCATCTTCTTTATAACCTCACCATACCAGTACCACGCCACATACATGAGCCTCAAGAAAAGCTGCATCTATATACCCCTAGTAACATGAACATGCACATGAAGATCGTAAGAACTCAGATGCAATGCTAGGATGCCTTTGGGGTTTGGTTTGTTTTTTTTTTAAGTGCTCGATATCTGACCAGGAAGCCCTACAAAATCCCGAGAACTGCTGCAGAGCACTCTCCTTTGTGAAAGTGCACGAGTTCTCCCCAGACCTTATGGGGGTGAGCCGTGACAATACGGGACCTTAATCCGCCTTAGCTTCCTGCATGTCTGTATGCCTGTCCTGGAGGACTCCTCGCCTCTCCGGGGCAGTACCCGCGCCCCACACACCAGCGCCGCCCGGCAAAGTCCGATCAGGCCGGGGAGC